GAAAACCGGAATGGAAAGACTCGTTTCTTCAAACAGTGGATTAACTCGAACCCCTGTGGTTCAGTTTAGTTGGCTAATCAGATTTATCTTAAAGTTCACGACACAATCTTTAAGATTGGTTAACTGGTCAGCTCGAGTTGATCAGTCAGCCTGAATGCCATTCAAAAGATAATCAGGATTTAAATACCTTCGAATACACGAGTCGATCTTCGTTTCTTTCTTCTTCTGAGATTCTCTGGCATTAGAAGGGACATCGATTTAATTTGAATCATTTAAGATAAAATGATAATCAGATCTATCAACTCGACGAAACTTCGTGAAAAATGAAATTTATAAAATTTTTTAAATGACCATTTTTAAATAATTGATAACGTGTATGAAAATTGTCAATCAAAAGTAAAAACCGAAAGCATTACTTCAACTGGACAATAATCATATCACTTACAACTAAATTATATAAATTATATTAAATTATATTAAATACAATACATCCTGAAGTATACAAATCTTGATCGACCAATCTTGAGCCACAAATCACAAAATTCAACGCAACAATCTTATTATCATTTACAATCACATCAATCCACTGTCAAAATGAAATTACATCAAATATCAACTTGAAATTCCACACAAATTTCCATCCATAGTCTCGAGAGAAATAATACAATAATTCTATTATCACTTCACTACGAACCTATCACAAAAATTACGTAAAATTATCGACCTTCATCGGAGCGAAATAAAGGGTTAAATACCCGTGGAGAAGAGAGAAAGCATTTCGAAAGCGTGGTAAAATCCGTGGTGGCCACCGCACTCGATCATCGAAGGGCCGTAATAATCCACGTCACGGTCCCCTCCGGACGATTTTCAGCGAGGAAAGCGGGAGGATCGGTAAAACAATGAGACGCAGACAAATTGGGTTGCGTGCTCGAAACAAGTTGGCACAGCTATCGCCAAACAGTCGTGGGATCCTGGCAAATGTTGCTCGATTGCCCGCCAGCTCGAACTTCTCCAGCTAGTTCTTCTCCCTTTTTTCCTCTCTCCCTCTCTCCTTCTCTGTCCTTCACTCTCCGCCTCGCTATCACCTTCTCCTCCTCTCTCTCGACGCTTGGTTTGGAAAAATCACGAGAGCGTCTCGTTGAATCCGATTCTAACCGAGTTAGAACGGCGCAGCCGTGGAAACGGAACGATTCGTGCATGTCCCTTCCGTCGTCTTCCGGAAAAGAGTTGCTCGAAACACGCGAGAGAGACTCTACTTGACGATCTTTGTGCGTGCATCGTGGGGATTGATCTTCATTTCTTAATATTTCGTGACTTTCAGCCGTCTCTTTTTATGCATTTCTCTTTTCCTTCTTTTTTTTTTTTTATTTTTGCTTCGAGATGTGGGATTTTTATGTAACAGGAAGGGGGTGTGGTTGAGGCACCATTTGCGGATTCGAAATGGAGAATTTTGGTTTCGATCGCTTGTTTAATGATTCATTCAATTTTTATTTTAATCGTATTTTAATTTGAGAAACGTAGATGGAATATCTTCATATTTGTATCTGCGAAAGTATGAAAGTATTGGATAGGGGTGTATAATAGGAAGTAAATTGACTCTGTCAAAGTAATTTACGATTTTCTGTTTTAGCAACACGAGTGACTCACTCCCACTCTATCCGACAAATTGAATGTGAGCACTTTCGACAATTGTACTTATAATAGCGTCGATAAATCTGAATAATCATTTCGCATTGGGGGAACAGAAAATCAAATTTTACATTTTCGAAATTAATATTTTCAATTCCACCAAGTTCCTACAAATATCAATTATCAATAGGAATTTAAAATTTTCGAAACCATGTCCGAAAATACTTAAAGCCTTGGAAAATTTCACGGAAACAAAACGATTATTTAATTATCCGCACTTTAAAATTTTCGAAATTACAATAATCTCAATTTTTCAATATTTCGTATTAATTCATCATCAATATTGCCAATTTCATTTTTTCAATTCCATCAATGACGATATTCCCATTATAGATATATCAATTATCAATTGTCAATCAAAAATTTCCAAAAATCAAATTCGAGCCCCCTGAAAATTCCACGGAAGCGAAGATTTTTCCATCCAGAATAAATCCAAGGACGAGTGCTCATGAGAAAAGTCAGGAAGGTCAGAACCGCCCTCTTCCGCACTTTTTGACTTTTTCGCCTAGCCACACGATCGCACAAAGGACTCGATGAATAAACCGGAAACCCGCTCCATCGTCGCCCTTACCTGTCCTTCTCCCTTCGATCATGCTTTTCCCATCCACGTGTGTGCGCGCTATAACGTATTTATGCGGGTCACTTCTCTGCGATTTGATACAACCTGCAGGCCCATTGAAAATCTATCTATGAATCTAACAAGATCAATTTGTCGTTCCTCGAGTACCATTTAGTAGTTTGGTTCTTCGAATATCTTTTCAAAAGATGTGGTTTTACGAAGGATTCTTTTTTTTTTTTTGAAATTCAATGGCTTGAACTTTTTTGCCCGAAACGTTTTATCGAGGATGAAGGATTTATGATTGGAACATTGGTGCGAGTGGTTTATATATTGTATGGAAATATTTTACAACCTCTTTCAATGTTGCAATATTGTATTTTATTATATAATATATAAGGAAAAGTTAAGGAAATTAATTTGGTTTTAATTGAGTTGAATGTTGACAGGATTATTCTGATAGCGTGTGAATTGAATGTAGCAAATGCAGTTACATTAAAATGATTAAATGTTACAAATCTTTCTATGTTCAGAACATACGTTTCTTAGTTTGAAATATTTTGTTGTGAAATAATATTAATCCCTACTTCAATGATTTTATCAATGCTAATAAATGCTCTACTTTTGTATATCTCAAAAACTGAGTATTATCTAAATCATCTGAAAGTCTGATTTGATTATTCTTATTAATCCAACTCATTCACATTAAATGTTCAATCAATGGTAGGTATTACAATTTTTCACCTATATCAATAATTAATATTATTATTCCTAACACGCATAATTATCACTCATAAGTAATAGTCTTATTTCTGATATCATCACTGGCTTGAAATACTCTTATATACAATTCTAACATCAAATATCTATCACACAACTATCTTAACACTCACCAATTCACACATTCCCATGATATTCTCAAACTTATTTATATAATAATAATAACATCATGTGGAAAATAATGTTGAAGAATACTGCAGAATTCTAATACTCGATGGACTTAAATATTAATACTATCTTAATAACGTCCACGAATTTTACATTCCATCCTATGAAATGTACACACTACAACCATGAAACCCTTCCACCAACATGGATCATCCAACGATCCATCGACTACGCTCGAGGACGCTTCTAACCCACTTTCGAGTATCGACGTACACCGTAAACCAGGAAGAGGGATAAAACCATCGAGAAAGTGGACTAAAATTGGCGAGAGGAAGAGAGAGAGAGAGAGAGAGAGAGAGAAAAATCGAAATGACACGGTAAAAGCACCGCTAATGCCGTTTCGCATTAACACTCGACGCAAAGTATGCTCTCGGTGTAAAAAGTTCCTGATCGATGGAGCGATCCGATTGGTCGGCGGACGAGGTGGGTCGAAATCAACCCCCTCGACGATGTTCCAGGCCGATCCTCCAGACACTGTGACCCGATTGGTCCACAGTTCCAAGCTCCACCCCCTCAAACTCACCCCTGTTCGTTCACCCAGCGAGCGTTCCCTCGAGCGTTTCGCATTCCAATAAATTCCTATTCGTCCGCTTCTGTTGCGCTCCTGGATCTCGAAAAGTAGATTGCAGTTTTCAGATTAGATGATGGAATTTGTAAAACGGATCGACCGATCTGATTTTGGCTCGAGTGTGTATGTTTGAATGGGGGTTGGAAGTTGGTTGAGAGAGTGGTTTGCGGTTATGGGAGATGGTTTGACGAAGTTTGAAAGATTTTTTTGAGAAATTTTTTTCTTTTCTTTAAATTTATGATTTACTAGTTTTTGTATTTACTCGGAATAGTTTGGAAGTAGTTTAAGTTTTTTTTTTTTTTTTTTAGGGTAGAAGATTCAGACTGAAGTGGATATAAATAATATTGTGTATATAAAGTGTAATATATTATAAGAATGTAGTTATACGTGTCATAGGGGTTGCTTCTAGATTTATATGTATCTCGATCACAAGCACACTTCCTTAGAATCAATATTTAAATCTCGTTTAGTCAAGAAAGTAAATACAAATATCATTGCAAAATATATATTTTAAGGATTTTACAGAAAATACAATCAATTCGTTATACAATATAGATACTAATAATTACTCGAAACAATTTCACATAACGAAATATTCACAAATCATCGTCCAACTTTATCCAATCCTAATTACAACGATACGATTTACATCAATGGGTATACACAATACACTATCAAGTATTCAAACAAACTCCAAAACCCATTCAAACAACGTCTCTCCTTAAAACCAACTCTCCAACGTACAAATCTCGAAACCCAAAAACCACCCCTTCTCGAGTTCCAAAGAATCACACCCTTTACCTAATCCCAAATAGACGCAGAGAGCAGCGTAACAATCTTCCTTCTCTCTCTCTCTCTCTCTCCCTCTCTCTTATTTCAGATAGATTGATCTCCATCCCTGTACGAAAGAACGATCGACCACGTTCCCTGGAAATCCAGCTCGCTAATTCTCTCGGCGGGCATCCAGTGGGGTGGACTGTCGAGGGTGAGCTCGAAATCCCCGCCCCTTGCTCAGATCCGCCCTCTGGCTCGAGGGTGCTTGACGAGCGAAACGGAGGTAGGGACCACTAGTCGTCAAGTGCTCGTCGAGGACACTCAAAAAGTACAAGGAGTGCTCGACGAAATCGCGGCCTCTATCCTCCTTCGATCTTAAAAAAAAAAGAAAAGAAGAAAATAGTTGAAGTTGTCGCGAGTGAAAAGAGCCGAGTTCGAGTTTCTACGCGTTTCGCGTTACTTGTGACTTTTTTTTTTTTCTTTTCCGATACAACGATTCAACGACAAGGATAGTTGGTGGATTTCGTGGAAGGATTTAGAGAGGAGTTTTTTTCTAAAAACGCGAGTGTCTTTTCGATTTGACCAGTGATGAATCGGAAGGGACGAAGCTGGGGGACGAAGAGGATGGTCAGGTGTGCGGGTGAACGTTGAGCGCACGGGGATCGGGACGGAATTCGGAAGTGAATTTGGGGAAGTGAATAGAGGAGGAAAAGGGAACGAAAGTGGCCGAGAGTGAATAAGTAAGAAGGTACGAGAGAGATCTTGGAAGGGTGAAATTTAAAAAAAAAAAAAAAAAGGGAGAGAGAAGGAGAGGGGTTAAAAAAAAGAGTAAGATAAGATAAGGAAAAAAAAAAATAAAAAAGAGAAAGGGTGAGAGAAAGGGGACATTGAAACGAGTGCGAGAGAACCACGAGGACATTAACATGTACTGACGCCACTAACACCTCCTCGAGACTTTCAAAATGGCGGACAAGAATAAGATTCTGCCCTGGTCGATGCTATCCTATCAGACCAGTCTCTTGAATCACGTCTGGTACACCCAGCTCGCTTACAGTAATAGGTAAACTTGAACTATCAGAAAAGAAGAAGAAAAAAAAAAAAGAAAATATATATATATATTATAGCGAATTATACCACGTGTATGTAGCTTATTTTTGCCGACACCAATTTATATATGTATATATATATATATATATATATATATATCGTAGT